CTCCAGTAGCCCCACTCTGATCATGTGAGATACCCCTCCTCATCCCTTCATCTAACACCTCCCTCGCCTCTCTCCTCTGGTGCTGGTCCCTCCCCTGCAGGTGTCTGCCTTTCTGCTTCACCCCCAGAGTCCCCTGGCACCTGCACCTTCCCTTACCCATGCACCCTCCTGGTGCCTCCCCCATCCCTCACTGCCCCTGCCCCCTTTGCCCTTTTTTCCCTGATGCCCATCCCCTCACCACTCTCATGCCCCTATTCCCCTCATGCCCCTGTGCCCTCACACATGACTTGCTCCACCCCAACATCCTCATGCCTACCCCTTCTGTCAAGCCTTCTTCCAGCACCTCCCCCTCCAATCCCCAATGCCCTTAACCTCTCCTCTTCCAATATCATCCTGTCCCCCCTCCCAGTGACACCTCCCCTCCTGCCCTTTTCCTCATTGTCTCCACTTCCCCCCTGTGGAAGAAAACATTTTCCCTTGCTGCAGCTCGTAATAAAACTGCCTCTGGCTACTTGTTGCTTAGAAACTCAGAGTGAGGACAATGTTTTCTTCCACACCCCCTAGCATTTGTGTATCCTCTACCCTGTCCCTTTGGTGCCTTCCCCTTTCTTCCTCCTTTCCCCTCCCCCTCCGTACAAGCCCCTTCTATCCCTTTCCCTTTCTTCCTCCTCCACCCTCCCCACGCCTCTCCCACGCCTTCCTCTTATTCCCCCCCCTTACCTTCAGCTTCTGCCTTCCAGCTTGCAGGGCTGGGGTCAGCGCCAGCCTAAGCTGCAGGGCCGGGGAGGGGCACTCCCAGGGCGGGGGCGCCCCCGGGGCACCACTCGATTCTGCAGGGCTGGGCGCCGTGCGGTGCTACCGGGATGGGCTGGGGTGTTCCCAGGCACCTCGGGGGTGCTCCCAGGTGCCTCAAGGGTGCCGCGCTGTGCTGCTGGGCCAGACGGGGGCACCCCCGGGCTCCTCAAGGGCACCACCTGGGCTGCTGGGCTGGGCGGGGGCATTCCCGGGTGCCTCAGGGGTGCCGCATCGTGCTGCTGGGCCGCGCGGTGCTGCTGGGGCGGGTGGGACCCAGGGCACAAAAATGGCCCGTGCACATGCCTGTGAGCTAGATATACATTTTCAAATGCAGGTCAAAATACACTGTATAGAACACTTCTTTAGATGCAGTTAAAGATGTTGACATATTTTAACATTGCTTCAGCTTCATACATAGTGACAACATGGTCTAGTTGGTGGCTTGTTTCTGCCATGAGTGCAGAGGACTGGAATTGATAACCTCTCGAGGCTCCTTCTAGTTCTAGTATTCTATGATCCTATGGAATGGTTTATGTTTAAAAATTGGCATATGTATGAAATATGGCAAAATATATAGCATAAAGGAAGGGACATCAGTTGTATTAATGATTCAAGAATTTCTAATACAAGATACACGTGAGCAAAATACAGTAACATAACAATGAAATACCTTAAACAATTTAGCATCATACAGAGTACCAGAAATGCAGGGTTTCTTTCCAGTGAACTGGACTGGTATTGCGCATATTCTTTTGTTCTAAAATTTGTTTTTGTTTGCACTATTATTTAGCTTGTTGCAGATATTTCGCTGTTGAGCATCTGAAGAGAATTAAGTTTCACAAGCATGAACAGATGACCTCTGCCAAACATAATTACAAAAGTTGGTTTCCCTGCACCATGTAGCTCTTTCCTCCATTTTTAAAAAGTTGCAATAGTGAGTGTCTTCATCCATATGTCAGATATCTTCTCTCTCTTTAATCTATTTCTTACTTGGATGCAAATATTAAAGGTGGAGCTGGCAGTGGAGCTCAAAATTATAGTTGCCTAACACTTTCCATAATAAGACCCTGTTTGCAGCTGTTTATAACTTTGTCAGAGTTTAACCATTCACATTGAAATTTTCCATGCTGAGAGCCTGCTTCAGGCTGAAATTATTTTGGAAAGCTTCAGTTAAAGCAATTCAGCAGTTTCCAAGAGTGAGGCTGGAATGGGAAATATAGTCTTTTAATGTTAGCAAAAAATGTTAATAAGGGTTTCACTCAGAACTTCTTGTTTTCGAGCCCAGAGTTTGTGTTGGGGTGAGAGATTGCCTGTTTGCTTTCACCATGAAAATCCATCCAAAGTTGTCAAATTTACAAAATGATAAAAATCTCTGTTTCAACCTCCTCAGAGAGGTTTGTTAGAGGCTAGCAACAAACTTCTCCAAATGCTTTCTCTACTGAGCGTATTTTGCTCCCACAGAGTTGACTGTACCATTGGGCTAAGAATGGACTTTTCCTTCAATTGCTCTTCTTTGCTGCTATAACGTTAAGAGCCAGAATTAAGAGAAAGAGAGACTTTGCTTTCAGTGTCCACATAGCCAGGGTGGACAGTTTTCTGCCTCAAATGCAGAAGGTTCAGGGATAGGCTTGGGAGACTGATAGTGAAGAGTGAATAAGGACATGCTGGAGATGGGAACATGTGGGAGCAAGGTAGATGGTGGGGAAAGTGCATACCGGAGATGCGGATGGCTCGTACATTATCAACCAACCAACCAAACAATGAAGGTGCCAATAGTTCTTCATGTCTATGTAGAATCTGGTGTTAGTACTCTTCCTTTCCTAGTGCAAACTAATGGTTCTTATCAGCCTCTTTTAACTATTTAGTCTTTGAGGTGCTAATAGACTATTTGTTGTTTAAGTTTTTTCCTGTTACAGATTAGCTTGGCTATCCCTTTGAAATTTACCTACCCAATGTCCTCTCTTCCCCCCCCCCCTTCCAAAAAATGTTTTTTCCTTTTCCCCTACCCCTTCCTTCTTCCCTTATTTATCCTTGGTTCTGGACTTCCAACACTCCAGTCATCTGAGGAAGTGGGCTGTGCCCACAAAATCTCATGACACCATCTACATGTTTTGTTAGTCTTTAAAGTGCTACCAGACTATTGGTTGTTTTTTAAGTTTTTCCTGATACAGACTAACTCGTCTACCCCTCTGAAACTTCTGTATTTATTATTACTTACTAGAAATATTGCATAGATGTATAATTGACATATAATGGTTTTCCTTGCCCCGCTTAATGGGGAAATATATGTATGTACAGGCAGTCCCCGACTTACGCGGATACGACTTATGTCGGATCCGCACTTATGAACGGGGCTTTTCTCGCCTCGGAGCTCACGGGCGGCATGTCACCACCCGTGTCCTCCGGGGCAAGAAAAGCTTCTCCCGGTCTCCCTGGTCTGCTGGGGAGGTCCAGCAAAGCCGCTGGACCCCCCCAGCAGACCAGGGACACCCGAGCAAAGCCGCCGCCTGGTCTGCTGGGGGGGTCGAGCAAAAGCCTTGGAGCACACCCGCAGCGGGACAGCCCGGGCGCGCTTGAGCTGTCCCCCTGCGGGCGTGCTCCGCGGCTTTGCTCTCCGTCTCCCAACC